CTACCCTGTACATTCCCTTGCATCTGTCGCATGATGGTTCTCACTTAGCTGGGTCTCTTTGAGTTGGGCTCTCCCTTGGTATCGCATAGGCATTGAGACCGTAGCGTTATCTTGGCTTCCCTGCTCCCAGATCTAGCTCCTTCCTCCCCCAATCGGTGAGTTGTGTGCATGTTTCCCTCACCCACTGCCCTCATCACCCTAGTGCCGGCCCTTGCATGCCTTCAGTTAGGCATATCTCCACCCTATTCCAGGCTCCCCCTTTTCATGGTCGACCCTGCATGATGTCACCCTTGTCGAGCATTACCCGCCTTGATGGTCTATCTGTTAGGGTCATTGGTTTTGTTTCGCTACCACTCTCCCACCTTGAGCCTGATGACCTATCCCACCTTCATGTGTGACTGCCCTTAGGAGTTTCGATTCTTAGACTGCATTCACCCCCTCTGAGACCATCCTACTTTTAGTGGTTCATCGACATGACATTATCTTGTGACATATTGCTCTTCTCCTTTCAGCACTGAGGCCACTGCCTCCAGGACTTTAGGAGTGTATCATACTACATTTCATTTTCTGCTGTTAGCTAGGATATGTATACAAGACATTTGCTTTCCTTTTGACATTATATAGCTTAGGATGCATCGCATGGACTCTGCATGGAGCTTGCTCCGCATCCTAGATTTCTCAGCTTTCTTTATTGCAGAGTTCCGCTGCTTTTGCGGATAGCGTGTTTATGGCTCTTGCGATCCATTACAAGTCTGAGGATCGTGCAACGGGCCTTCATCTGCCCTGGCCCACAGCCAGGGCCTATTTGGCTATTTGCCAGTCCGGCCTGTGGGACCAGGTCGTGGCCTGACCCCACAGGCCATGCGGTTATTCAGTCCAGTCCAGTCCTGCCCGGTACCACTGTCGGTACCAGGCCAGTCCAGTCCAGTCCAGTCAGTCCGCTGGGGGTATACCCCAGCTGCAGTCTGTTTTGTGGCATTCTTCATTTGCACAGATTGGAGTACGTGCATATTGAGTCTGCGTTGGAGCTGCGCTGTCCCTTCCAGCTCCATCTCCATCTCCCCCATCCTCATCCCTTCGTCTTGATCCTGACGGACCGCCATCCCGGCGGGTCCGTCACACACACACACACACACATACACACACACACACACACACACACACACACACACACACACACACACACACACACACACACACACAGACAACTGACATTTCATTAAAACTGACATTTTTTTCTAAATTCACGAAAGTGGACTTAGTCAAAATTTCATTGCTCATCGGGTGAGAAAGTAGTTATCTCACTTTGTCCATCTGATGCACCTCAACGTAAAGTACCGTTAACATMCATCCGATAGTCAGATCATYGGGAGTCGCCWYGACACCCGATGATGTGATCATCCGACGTCATGAGGACAAAAAAACACTAAAAAATGTTGTTTTTTGGTACGCTCAATTTCGTGAATTTAGAAAAAAATGTCAGTTTTAACCAAATGTCAGTTACACGCATTCATAAGGGCTGGGTGGAGGTCAAGATCAACTGATAATGATGATAGGCGTCTCGATGATAAGTACCCCGCCTTAAATATACAGCTAGGGTCTGTGGTGGGAKAGTAGAGGGCRKGAGTCACYGGTTGGCTTGGTCGGCTCCAACTGSTGATGATGATAGGCGTCTCGATGATAAGTACCCCGCATTAAATATACAGCTAGGTCTGTGGTGGGAGAGTAGAGGGCGTGAGTTACTAGTTGGTCAATTTAGGGGCCAATAGGTGATTGCTTGAGCCTGGCGTCCAAAGTACCTGTACGACGAGGCTCGTTCGACTATGCTTCAACCAGGGCTGGGTCGCTAGCCCTGGTGCCTGTCACAACTGTTCGGTCCAAGTTCCCCTCGATACTGGTAGGGTGATGGTCCTGAGTGCTGGTGACACTGAGGTAGGATAGTAGGGATAGGGGATACGCTAGGAGTATTGACGTGACGATGGGATGGGTGGTGGCCTGCCCTCCTCAGAGCGACCACGGCTGACCGCTTCCGGCAATCAATGTGTGCCTAGTAACTGGCCTCTACAACACCCTGGACTTCAAATCTTTTCGGGAGAAGAAACAGACGAGGAATGATTGATTTAGGGCTGTAATGGTTATACGATGGGATGCTGAGTCCGGATTTTTTTGAAATGTTCAATAGTCAACAGTCGACTCTTTGACTGCCATAACCATGTAAGCTGACATAAGATAACAGAAATTGTGTGACGGTGCGGGGCCTTAGTCCACCAGTTGGGGTAAAGTCATCCTTTTGAATATTTTTCTACGTGGGCACAGTGCGCGCCCATGAGATGTTCAGTTCGGTGGCCAAGTCCCACTCGCAGTGTTGAGTTTCCTCAACGGCCGAATCTGGATGTGTTTCTGGGGATGTGCAGAAAACGCATTGAGTTTCCTGAACCGCACATCTCCACAAACACATCCAGATTGGGGCGATGAAGAAACACAACCTCCTGGTAGGACTTGGGCAGGAAGAGGTGTGTACTCGAAACCAAGTCTACTCCCGCCCCTGCTACTGCAACTTACCCCTCTACCGGTAGGGCTAAGTCCCACCAGCAGTGGCTGTGAGATGTTCAGATAGGATGGCAGGAGCTGCCCCCCCCCTGCTACTGCAGCTTACCCCTCTAGGGCGAAGTCCCACTAGCGGTGGCTGTGAGATGTTCAAATAGGATGGCAGGAGCTGGCGCTTACCCAGAACCAAGCCTAAACCCCCTCTCGTTGACCTTAGCCCCTGGTTAACTTTCCAGGTAGACTGTGAGAACCCTGTCCTCATACCTCTCTACAATACAATGATTTTTTTCTCCACAAAAAGAAAAGGAGCAGGCTTGTGGAATAGGATATATGTCCTTCGGGACATCCATTAAAATCGGAATGATAAAGAGAAGATTAGCATCGCCCTTTCGCAAGGAGGAACGACTTCACAGCAGCACCAAGTGGACATTGGCGGAAGAATATGAAGATCAAGAGCTTGGCCAAGAGGTAACTGAAGAAATGGACAGCAGCTAGCAGCAAAATGATCTTGAGCTCTACTCATCCTCTTTACAGAATATACTACACATACACTCATGGTGATGGCAGATGCTAAATACAACAGGCTAGATGAGGCGCCCTGTTTTTTTTTTTTTTTTTTTTAACCAGTTGGTCCAATCTATTGGTGGGAAGCCACACCTGCTGGAAAACGGGTCCAGCCTCCCTTCTGCACCATTGAGAAGTAGGACAGGAGTAAGTAAAGATCCGTAAGGTCTTTGAGGCGCTCTGCTCAAGGGGTGAAGAGGCACTTCTGTCTCCACAGCCTTCCTAACTGCTCAGCTAATCCCCCTGGGTATCCTGGGGTGATCAATGCTGGCGGAATGCTCTCGAGCTAATCTTGTGGATGATCTTGTTATACAGGGATGCTGGACCCGGTTTCCAGCAGGTGCAGCTCCCCACCAATAGATGGAGCAGCCAGGGATAGCTACTAGAGGCGGCTGCTCTTATCACCCCCTCTAGTAGTGGTCGCTGGTTTTAATATTTTTTTTTTTTAAGAAAAAAAAGGATGACACACATATAATCGAGAAATGGTCCAAATTAAAAGAAAAAGAAAAAAAGAATAGGATATATCTGGTGGCTCTTGCTGGGATTGAAGAGGCCTTTTCACAAGTTTTCAGACACTTGGCATTCTGCATGTCTTTTCCATATCAAGTATCCCTTCATGCGGTACGCTGCTACGCAGGACCCAATTCCCAGCACGTGATGATCCCCAGGAATAAGATTGGAGTCATGAAATCGGAGAGACCTTAGTCAAGCATGGGCTCTTGTACCTGTCCAACAAAGGTATGCCCCTCCTGCTTTTTTTTTTTTTTTTTCAATTTTGAAAGGGGCCCAGTGGCCAAGGCTTAGATTATCAAGTCGATTACAACGCATACACACACCTAGTGCATTGTTCGTAATCAGGGACGCTCGTCATTCCCAGGACCTTCGTCAATTTTGGATCAGTTTTTGGAATTTCATCTTTTTGCAATTCGGGAAACACATGGGAATTACATGCGCCTTAGCAAGCGCGCTAGAAATTTGGCTCGACGGTTAAGAATTCCGGAATAAGCGGTACCCGACGTGTCCTTTTCACGCATGAATGTTCTTGGCTTCGTATCGAAAAATTCTGAGAATTCTTGTGTAAATCTGAATAGACGTAGGACTCTTTCCCGCGTTCTTTCTACGCGCCAAACTGGTGTTTTTCAATTTTGAATTAGCATAGGATTCTGAATGAGCTGTAACTGTTTCAGTGCCCTTTTTGCTTTTGGTGCCATGCATGCAAGCTCTCCAACCATCCTCCCCCCCCCCTTCCTCTCCGTTTTTCCTGCTACCTTCAACACTCTCTTCTTCGCGCTCACGCTCTCTCTCTCTCTCTGTCTCTCTGTAACCGTTTTTCTATCTCTGCTTTGCCCCACGCGCCTTTTTTCTTTCTTGATCATCTGGATCTTGGTTCCGTTTCACGCTATTCTTCGCGCTCTTCTTCTTCCCGCTCTAATCCTTGCGCTGGAATACTCTGTCGGCTCCCTCCTCCTCCCATCTAAGCCAAGGAGACACA